CTTTCTTCAAAAAAGATTGTTTACCAAATCACTTATCATTGTTTCATCAAATACCTCCACTATATCTTGATACTTTGCTTCTTTTTTTTTTCTAATTGATGTCTTCATCTGTATCGCACCTCCCCCTTCTTTCTCATTTTATATTCTTGCCGTTCAGAATGCAATGGTTAAAACCTATTTTAATATTCACTTTATTGAAATAAAGAAACCGAAATTAGTGGGAACAGTTTCTAATCCTTAATGCCAAGTCACTAAATATTTGATCGCAGTCATTAACAATGACTTCAACCTTAGCTCCTCAAAAGAAACCGCTTTGCTTACAGTATTTTGTCACTCATTAACTGCTACTTACCAGAATGTTGTTTGACCTATTGTAGCCCTTATTTGATATAAAATTCATATAATTTGCCATCATAGCAGAATCTTAATTTATCAATTGTTGCTTTTTGATTTTATTAACTGTAATGTCAGCAGAAGCTTGTAGTTCTAGACAACAAATTGTCTTTTTCAATCTTGGTTTTACATTTTGGGCTACCATACATCACAATGCTTGTACTCCTTTCATTGCATAAATTTGAAACTTTGTTTCACTTAAACACTATGAAATTAGATATGAATGAATTATACTGCGTTTTATGGCCCGTTGCATCATTTCTGCCAGCAGTGTGTATTTTAAGATTAGGCAACAAAAGAATTTTACAAGCATATGAAATATTTATGAAAATCATTTGCATTGAACTAGTTGACCAACCTCCAACCCTCCACTTACTATTTAGATATTCAAGATTTCAAACATTTTAAAATAAAAAAAAATGTTTTCTGATCATTAAATAGAGTGGCATATAATGTAAACAACTCTGTGTTGAGCAAGATCATGTTTTAACAGAAAGGACCCAATTCTTTCATTCATTCAGCTCTAAGCATTTGATAAATGATTAAAAAGTTGGATTGAGTGAATTTAAAAAGGTTACAAATATTTTGACTACTTTCATTTTTATTTTTTTAAACTTTTTTTTAAAAAATATAATTTTTTATTTTTCTTGCTTTATTGTACTTTGTTAGAGAATCAGGAGTTTTTGTTGTTGTTGTTGTTGTTGTTTTAGTTTTTTTTTTAAATCTTCCTCATCCTGACCCCAGGGTCTCTATTTGGGAAGAAATATAATCATGAACACAGGTGCCTGTTCTTAGAGTATCATCGTAAAAGAAAAAATATCCGCTAAATATAGAAATTCTAAGGCATGTATGTTTCTTTTGTTTGTTTGTTTTTTTCTCTTCCATTTTTTTTTTATATTCATTGGCTCGTTTATGGTGAAACAATGTTAGCCCCCCCCCCCATTGTATCAGTTGCCTGAAAAAGTAAGGTGTGTTTAAGTTCAAGTCTAAAAGAAAGAGAATTGAATATGTTCTTTGTAATCCTAAAGGGGGGCGGGGTAGGAAATTCTTTTGCCCTAACATCTGGAAATCTGTGACAGTGGAAGCAAAAAGAAGATTCCAACATCTAAGTAACAAAAATAACTGCCAGTTTTTTTCCATTAAGACATTTAGGTCAGCCATAGATTGTAACTATTCATTGTTACATCTATCAAAATACCTTCTGACTTTCTTTTTAATCATACTTTTTCTTTTTACAAAATAAATCTCACTTCCTTTATTTTCATTGCATCCTCCCTTCCTTCCTTCTGACTACTTTCCTCTGCTACTTCCTTCTTCTGATGAATGTACTTCCCTCCCTCCTTCCTTCCTTCCTTCTAATTACTGTCCTTCCTTTTCCAGACTACCATCCTTTCTCCATTCCTCCCTTCTAACTACCTTCCTTCCGTCCTTCTGACTACTTTCCTTCCTTCCGTCCTTCTGAATACTTTCTTCTCCCTGAATAGTGTCCTTCTCTCATTCCTTCCTTCCTTTTCCTTCTGACTACTTCTACTTCCTTCCTTTCCTTCTATTTTCCTTCTTGCCTTCTTTCTACTTTCTTTTCTTTCTTCTGACTACTTTCCTTCCTTCTACTTCTTTCCACTTTATTTCTTCCATCTCACTACTTACCCTCTGTCTACTTTCCTTCCTTCCTTCCTTCCACTTTACTTCCTTCCTTCCTTCATCCCTTCTGACTCCTTTCCTTCCTTCCTTCTTTCCTTTTAATATATTCTTTGTTTCCATCTACTTTCCTACCTTCTTCTTCTGCCTACATTTCTTCCTTCCTTTCCTTCTGACTACTTTTCTCCCTCCCTTCCTTGCTTTGACTACTTTCCTTTCTTCCTTCCTTCTGACTAATTTCCTTCCGACTACTTTCCTTCTTTCTACCCTACTGATACTTTTCTTCCTTCTTTCCTTCAACTTTCCTTTCTTCTTTCTGACTGTTTTCATTCCTTCTGACTACACTCATTCCTTTTTACCTTCTGGCTACTTTCTTTCTCTTCTTCTGGCTATTTTCCTTCCTTTCAACTACTTTCATTCCTTCTGACTACTTTCCTTCCTTCTTCCTAGGAAAGAATTATTGCTACCTAAATACACCTTTATTTATATTTTCCAAGGTTTTTGGATTCTAGACTCTACTCGAGATGTAACATCGATTAAACCCACGTTAATTTTTTTTGAGATTTTTTGTAAACAAAAATGGCCACATCAGTATGCAACAAAGCCTTTATTCAGGAATTTTTCTTTGATTCATACACTGATGATGATTTTGAAGGCTTTACTCGAGTGGATATTGACAGTGAAGTGGTCGAATGGAAAAATGTTGATGACCACTAGTGGTTACTATCATCTATGGCTGACTAATTTTATGGAAGCTACTATTGACCATTTGAATACCTGATAGCCTTTCTGAAGGTGAATTATTTCATCTGTTTATAAACAACAAAATAATAACTTTATTTGTCAATGAGATAAATCAATATGTTAATCAAGTGAAAGAAAGACCAAACAAATGCTGGTGTCTTCTCAAATGTAAACACAAGATGGTTCTTGAATGGATTTTGAAGATAGAAGCCAGTGTATGAATCTTGGTACCATTACTGAAGGCCTGAATGATCTTTTTCCTCTCGTCATTGTTCATTTGGAAAGACAATGGGACTGACACAAAAGGATTTAGAACTGTTGTCTTTCTACCTGAATAACTCAAAGGGTTTTTCAGTGATTCTTACAACAAATGGTGTCAAGATGGCTAAACGTCTTATCTGAAAACATGAAAAAAGAAACTCAATTAATTTATTGTTTTTTTTAAATATTAAACATTTTGTGGGATGGACAATTATGCTGTTACACCAAGTGTGTGTGTGTGTGTGTGTGACTATTTGCTGATGGAATGAGACATTGCCTCTCACGCTTAGTTTTAGAGATTACTGGTAATTCTTCAAGAGTGTACTAAACAAGAGTAAATCCTCAATCTCTTCTCTCTCTTCAATTAATTAGATGTGTTGTCATCTTCCAAAGCAATTTTGATTCATCTGGAGTATCTCTGCTAACCATTCTCGTCTCTACTAAGCAATATGCACACATAACTTCATTATGGTTTCTGTTTACATTTCTAAAGTAGATCACTATATGGCCTGCAGATTTGACAGTGTCCTTGCAATCATCCTGAAAAAATGTATTCCTGAACTGGCTGCTGTTCTCCTCAAACTGTACAATAAATGTCTCACTGCTTCTTACTTTCCAGCTTGTTGGATGTTTTTCTCTGTAGTTCCTATCTTTAAGAACTCTTCTAAACCTTCGAATTATCACCCTATTAGTCACTTACCTATATTTGTACTAGAGGCTCTGATCAATGCCAAATTGGTTAAGCATCTTACTTCACATGGCCTCCTTTTGGATTAACAAAATTACTTCCTGTTTCCTCAGGCCTACTTCTGATGTGTCAACAGCTATCCCTGAATTTGTCTATCAATGTTCAGATAAAAACAGCAAAATTAATGCTATGGCTCTAGATATCTCAGAGGCATTTGGCAGGGTTTTGCATGCAAGATTTCTCCACAGAGCTCAAGGTCTATAATGTCTCTGGACATATATTTGGCTCAATCCAATCATTCCTAACAAATTGTGTAATGAAGATCAGGTTGAAGAGACATGCTTCTAGATCATTACACAGGAATCTATCTACATTGTTTCTTATCTTCATCAACTACCTTCCTGATGCTGTCACTTTCCAACTAGATATTTATGCAGATGACAGAACTATTTACTCCTGTCTTAATCTGATAGGTCTGACAAAGTAAAACTAGCAACTGCTCTTGAAAATGACATTCAGTCAATGTTTAACTAGGGCAAAGAATGTCTTGTAAATTTGAATGTCTCTAAACAAAATTTCTTTCTTTTAATCACCATAGAGAATAAACTGTCGTTAAAATATGAAACTGAGCAGGTATGATTATTTTGAGAGTGTGAGATAAATGTATATGAGACCATCTAGCTTTACTTGATCATTGATGCACTCTATGAATGAGACGGTCTAAAACATTTTGGATTTAATGGTTTTCTTGTGCCAACTGGAATATATTGTTTAATAAGTAAATGGTGCATCTATTCAAATATGGGTTTCCACTAAAAATAACATTTAAGTAATAAAATCTATCAGATTAATAAAAATCCATTACTTCTTTATATATATATATATATATATATATATATATATATATATATATATATATATATATATATATTTGGGATACTGAAGATTTTGGGGCCTGATCTTTTTCCTAAAATCTGATCAAATAACAATTTTTTAAATTGGGCTTTTTGGTCAAGCAGAGAATTTTTAAATTTTTCAGCACCCCTTCATAGATTCTTTCCATCTGACTCAATCATTTTTCCTGCACTCACTAAGTAAAGATTTGTTATTGAAATTTTCTGCCTCAACCATTTTCAGGAATTTTCTCTTGGACATTTTTCACACCGACATATTTGTTTGATCATTTTGGTGGCTGGAGTGGGAGATAATTGCTAAACAAACTCAACCAGTCTTTCTGGTTTGGGTCACTTGTGACTATGCCAAAGCAACTACCCAAATGGCAGGGAACTTGATCATTCCTTCTTTTTCTCTCCATTCTTCCTTGGCAGCCTGGATTCAACTAATTTCTTCATCATTCTTAGATAAATCGTCATCATCACATCATAATTATGTCTGCAGATGAAATTCTTTCCAGTATTTTTTTTGTTATTTCTGTTGACATGCAAATATATTCACTTCTGCATAACCAATTATTATTATTATTCTATTATTGAATGTTTAAAACGTGATTAATTAAATTGGTTTCACTGTATCTCCTTAAATTTGGTTTTTTTTTTTTAATATACACTTAAGATGAACAGAAAATCCTAATTTATCAATAATTCCTGACTAACTTTGAATGCCAGTCTTGCTCCAAGTAAAATCATTATTATTATTATTATTTATGTAATGTCTGTTATCAAAGTATTCATATTTTATATTTGTCATATATTACCCAAAGAAAACTGAACTGTTTTTTCATTTTTTTTCTCTTTTTTTTTTTCTCTCTAATGATTTATTCCTTAATCAAAGACACTTTACAAAGATTGTTGCTTTTTTTTTTTTTTTTTTTTTTTTGATTTGGTGTGTCCATCACAATATCAATGTAAAGACAGCATCCAAACTTCAGTATCATGAACTTCAATTTCTTAGGGGTGGGGATGAAGTTGAGGATGGAGGGAGGGATTGTTTTAATCGTTCTCCTTTCTGTGTATAAAATAAAACAAAAATTGCTGAATAATAATTATTTAAGAATAAACCTAATAAAATTATCTGCTTGAAAAATTTAATTTAGACAACTTAGTTTTTTTTTTAATGGTTAGAATGTTCACTTTCTGGCCATGAGGGCCAGGTTTGAATCTCGCCATAGTTGATTTGTCAAGGTATGACTTTGTGTTCCCAGGATGTGGCATCTTCAGAAAGTGCAAAAATCAATTGGTTAATTGATTTTGTTTTTTAGTTTATCATCCTTTTGCAAGTTATTTAAAACCAGAAAATATTTTTGGGTTGTAAGACTGTTTTTGGAAATAATAATGATTTACTGATACAAGTCCTACTAATTAACTCATAGCTGGGAGGGGAAGAGGTGGATTCATACCTTCGTGCATAAGTGAATTTAACGAGCCCAACAGGAATTGGAACTTGGCTCTCTGAGCCGTTATTCATTATAACACCCACATATCCAAGCTTACAACACCTGGTATTCCCATCTAGGCACTGACCAGGCTTAACACTGCTTAACTTTGATGATCATACAGGAACCATTGTTTTAAAGTGATATGGCCTGAAAGTACCAGAAAACTATACTATAGTGGATCCAAGCCTTGTTAGTGAACTAGAGTCATCAAAACTGTTCTGAGGCTGTCAATGGTTGTGGTAGCACAATAAATCATTGTAACCGAAAGTTGAAATGTACTGGCCTTGATCAAAATATATTATGATTTCTCTCTCAGTTCCACTCAGCATATTTACAGTGTAAACAACACAAAAATACCTAATCAGGTGTCTGCAACAAGGATTATTTTGCCTCCCGAGCAAATGGTAATGGTAATATTAACCATTTCCCTACAAGGAAACATTTTGTGTTCATTGACCAAGCAACCAGTACTGATTTTGGTTGAAATTTATAAAATCTTTCTCTTAAAACAGGATTTTTTTAGAAAAAATGGTTTCTCAAGTCTGGTAGCTTTTATCGCTTTTGCCATTATCGATGGAGGGGGGTTCCTTTCGCACCTTCTATTTGATGTGGTGTAGAATGTGAAAATCTTGATTATGTCATTATCTTCTCTTTGAGTTACATGTTCTATCCATTTTAGTTGTTGCTGTTGTTGGTAGTCCTCAAGTGATGTGGTTTCTGTTATTTGGTACAGTTCTTTGCTTGTTATTTTGTAGCACCAGTTCACAAGGTTCAAAGAAGGATGATCTTTGCCAAGACACTCAGGCTTCATTATTTTCTCTTTGAGTTTCATGTGCTATCCATTTTAGTTGTTGCTGCTATTGAAAGTCCTCAAGTGATGTGGTTTCTGTTATTTGGTACAGTTCTTTGTTTGTGATTCTGTAGCACCAGTTCACAAGGTCCAAAGAAGGATGATCTTTGCCAAGACCCTCTAGGCTTTACTCCCTCAAAGTCATTTTTTTTTTGTATACAGCTGACAGTTTAGATATTTCTGAACAGGTTTAGCACCATGCATTACATCTATATGAAAGTCTTGAGGCTATATAAAAACCTGACTCAAGTTTTCAAGTTGATGTTTTGGTTTTGTAGCAATTGGTGGTGTTGGGCAAAACTACCCCTGGTACTGCATATTGTATGTTCAATTTCTTTTTCTCCTATACTTAATTTGTTATAGATGATTCATACACCGAGATATCTGAAGTGGATTCATAAGTGTGCACAAAAATGAATATTATTATTATTGTAGGTATATTCTCTCTCTCACATGCACATGCAACACAAAACTGCTAGAGATCATCTCTTACAAAGGCATATAAATTTCATTATTGAGGGCTTTGTACACTCCTTCAAGAAACTATTATTGCATGATTTTTGTTGTCCAAAGCTTTTACATTTGGTGTTTTCTAATGATTAGCTAAAAAAAAGATCAATGTGCAGAAAATAAAATTGGGGAGTCAAATTTAAATCCTCATTTCATCTGTTGCATTTGCTTTTGCACCATTTCCTTTTGGAAAGGCATGGATCTATCTCTTCTCCCTCCCCCTTAATAGGTTAAATAGTAAAATAAAGTGGTCTTTTGGTGGGAGTCAGACTAAGAAAAGGGAAAACTGAATTCAAAATTCTGAAGAAGCAGAATAAATTCCTGCCACTATCATTTTCAAGTCATGACAATCCCGATATTAAAAATAAAATGAAGTTGTGGAGAGCCATGATCGCCTACATCCAGAAGAGACATAGCAATTTTTTTTTTTAAAAAAAAAAAGATAGAGAGAATAATTTGCATGTCCTCCCATTAACAAATCTTCCTAACATGTGGAAATAATAAAACCAAAAAATCTGAAGAAAATTTTAGCAATTAAAACATAACTTCTTCAATGAAAAAGAAATATTTTATTTTATTTCCTTATCAATCAAAATTACCTCACAAATGTTAATAATATCTCATCAGTTCTGTAATGATGCAATTTTGTCTAACCTTTTTCCTTTTAATTATTTTTTTTCTTTTTTAGCGAAACTCTAAAGGGAGTACGGATTTCTGTGTTCGCAACATTGATCATGCAGCCTTCGGAAGAAGGGAGATTGAAATTGCAGAACAAGGTAAAGAGTTTTTGTTTTATGATTGAACCACCAATGGGACACTCTGTATTCCCTTCTCCCACCAGCTTTTCATGTTGATATTCAATGTGCAGATCCATTTTAAACACATAAAACCAATTATCAGAGTTTTAATTATGTATGTAGCTGTACAACATTTTTATGAAAAACAACATTTGTTTAAAGGGATTGCAGATTTATTCAAATTTTATTTCGGAATGCTAAATAAAAAAAAAATAAATTTTACTTATTTTCTTCTCTTCTGTTTCTCAGTTTTTTGTTATTTACATCTTAATTATAAACAAATAAGTTTAAATAACAGCAAGGATGAGGATATTAGTCTGAATATAATGTGAATATCTCTGAAATCCAGACAGAAATTGAGTGTTTGTTTTATTTACTAATTATGTCGTCCTTTTGATTTTTCTCTTTGTGAAGACAAAAAAATAAGTATTGTAGAAGCAAATCAGTTTACTCAATAATTTTCTGAGCTCTTTACTATCAAGAGTTAAAAATCTTGTGATTATTTCTCTTTATAAAGACAATAGAAGTCAAAAATATTGTTTTGTTAATGACATATAAAAAAAAAAGATTAACTTCAAATTTTTGTTTAACATCCAGAATTTGAAAAAGTTTAATTTAAGTTTCTCTCATCCAGTTCATTAAACTACGCACAATTTTCTTTTTACAAAGTATTTATTGGTCAAATAGTCTACGCCTTTCAATTTTTCATTTATATTGTGCATGTGTATGTATATATATATATATATATATATATTCAATGTGGACATTGAAGAGGCAAGTGTCTGTTTCATGCTAAACACAATCATCAGGCCATAATTTTCATATTAAACCCAATACGTTTAGTATGAAACAGACTGTTGCCTCTGAGTGTTGACCTCAATGTCCACTTTTATATTTACATAAGCTCTATAAACCCATAAATATAGCATAGCTTAAAACTATATTTTTTATCATATTATATATATATATATATATATATATATATATATATATATAAGTAGGAGTATTTACCAGTTACATGACCCAGATTTCAAGCATAACATTTCTTCAGGTGGTATTGGCAAATTGATTTTTTTTTTAACGCTTCATTTCATTGTTTGTAAACCTAACCTCAGAACAGGAAGATCCACAGAAGGGGAAGGGGGATGGCAAGAGTAATTCAAACTGGAAGGAAAAAAAAAATTATCTATTGTTGTATTCACCCTGATCTGGGTTCATATAGGCTCAAAATACATTTGTTGACATGTCTGCATTTAGACATAACCTTTCTCGATCCGGGTATGTCACTATGGCCAGCTTTTCCTCTTGATATAATTTGCAAATACTTCTACCAATGTTGCAAGACTTGACCTTTCTCAAAATACTCCATTTCACGTTAGGGCTGCTATTCCTTTTTCTTTTTAACTTCCATGCATGGCTGGTGAGTTTGGTATGATACCTGTGTCTTTCCAATTTAAATGAAGATTTATGGTTGTACCATTTTCGATTAAATGTACCTTCTATGCATCCCAAGTAGAGCTTGATCTGTCCACTCATCTTCCACTTCTGCCTTATAGATTACTCCTGTATTACAGTTACCATCCAATGGACATTTGCCTTTATCCTTTATCTGCAATTACAAGCAATTTACATTGTGTGTGAGAGGTGTATGCTGAATAAACACCCAGAGGTGATGGTCTGTTTCATGCAATCATCAGGCCATATTTTTTGTGCTAAATGCAATCATCAGGCAATATATATAGATATATACAGACAAAAAACATCAAAATTAAAAAGATGTAAACACATGAGATGAATATAAATTGCCAACCAGTTTTGAATGCAATTCATCTGAAAGAATTTATGATTTGATATTTTTAATCAATCTATTAATTGATCTGTCTTAATATAAAAATATGTTGCATTTTTCATATTTTTTATTAATATGTACACAGACACACAAGCACACACTGTATGCAGATTGTCATGTATATAAGTATTATAGTTGGAGCAAGAATTCCATTGATAGATTGTTTGCTGTTATTTTTTTGGGGGGGTGAGGCCATTTGCATTCAATAATTATTATCTGGTTGCTATAGTAACTAATATATTTGCTTTTCATCTCAAGGCCTTGGAGTGTTTGCATGTCATCGTGTGAAAATTTCATCAAGATTATGTTTCCAACATCTGGTATTCTCACCTACCCAAACATCATCTCCCCCAACCACCACTGGATATCATCTCATTCTCTACCCCACCTCTATCTACCTTATATCCCACAAAGACTCAAGGTAGGCCCTTCATCAGGTTAGCAGACCACATAACAACTGTCAAGCCAATGCACATTAAGTCCCACACAATCATATATATATATATATATATATATATATATATATATATATATATATATATAAATAAAATTAATTTTCTTGGGCATAATACAAGAAATTTTAATAAAAATTCAAAGCAAAAAATTTTTCTTCACCTAGAAACGGCTTATATGAAACAGCAAGATTGCATTTAGCACAAGATTACACACAACACAACAAAAAAATGATTAGAATAAATATGCAATCTATTCATTAAAATTGTGAAAAATATAAAGTCGCGCTCCCCAAGAAAGACACCACTCCTTCTGAAACAGCATAGAGATGCCAGGTTGAAATTTGTGACAGAGCATAAAGATAAGGAAAATTCTTATTGGGAAAGAGTTCTTTGGACAGATGAGAGTAAAACTGAGTTGTTCGGTCACAATTCCCTGAATCATATATGGAGGAAAGACAGCAAATCATACGCACACAAGAACACCATACCAGCTGTCAAATTTGGTGGGGGTAGTATCATGGTTTGGTGATCCTTTTCAATGTGAGGTGTTGGCAAACTAGCAATTATAGATGATAGAATGAATACAGAAAAATATCAACAAATCCTAAGCGAAAATTTATCGCTTTCTGTAGAGAATCTTGGGCTTCCTCCTGATTGGATGTTTCAGCAGGACAATGATCCCAAGCATCCTGCTAAGAGTACAAAGGATTGGCTTGCTAATAACAACGTTAACATCTTACAATGGACCAGTTGGTTGCCGGATTTGAATCCAATAGAGAATTTATGGCCGTTTTTGAAAAATAAGATCCATGAAAGAGGTCCAACAAGCATCAAAAACTTGAAAAAACTCGGTCACAATACAAAATTGTACAAAATACCTACTAAAGTATGTGAATCGTTAAAGACTACAGGAAGAGATTGGTTGTTGTTGAACTTAATAAAGGCTTTGCTACAAAATATTAAATGGAGAAAACATGTTTTCTTCTGTACAATCATTTTTTAAACTCCTAAAAATATAAATATTGCTATATTTTCTTAACCATGGAATATTATTTAGTTTTATATGCATACATTTTTAATATGCAATCTGATACAGTAGATATATATTTCCATTTTGTTAATTTAATATGTTACAAATAAAAATATGAAATATTTTCATGTGTACGATCACTTATTCAACCCCACTATATGTACAACATAGAGATTTTAATGGATAATGCGCTAATACTTTTCAAAAAAAAATATTTACATGCAGACTATTGTCATTATCTTTGTTTTTGTTATTGCAACATTTTGGATGTTCTAACCTCTGACTTTCATCAGATGTTTGTTTATCCAGGTAACCTACAGGGAATTCTGAACTGAAGCTTTTATTTTAATCTATGGGGTGAGACTGTTCTCATTCCAATTCACATGTCTAGGGATATCTCGTCTTGTTCTTATTTTTAGTACTTCTCAGTTATTACTTACCCTGTTTTCACTGAATCTGTGTACACTCTGCTCTATCCAGGAATTGAACTGAACCCTTTATTTAATTTACAGGTGTAGACTGTTCTCATTCCACTGACCATGTGTACGGATATCTCGTATAGTTTTTATTTTTAGTGCTGCTCAGTTGTTGCCCAGTTGTTTCCCATGGGACAATAGCTTAGTGTTAGTTTGTGAATTTGGTGACATAATAATTGTGAGTTCAATCCCTGAGCCAGCCAGTGTGTACCTGGACTTACTGGAAACATGGTAAGCAATAACTGATCAGTACTAAAAATAAGAACTGCACAAGATATCCCTGGAACAGAATACAATCTATCTCCATAGATTAAACAAAGGATCAATTTGGAATTTCCTTTAGATTAACTATAGCAATATAAACCTGATGAAGGCAGCCAAGCACAATGACTGAAATGTTGATAACAATAACAAAGATGGCGACAATAACCCGCATGTACATAGAGTAAATAATAACTCCTCATCCTAGAAATTCATGCAGACAAAGAAATATTTATTTTATATATATATATATATATATATATATATATATATATATACGCACACACACACAGAAATAATATTTCTATACTAATGTTTACAATAATAAATGAAGAAGTATCTATTTCTGTTGTGTATTTATAGTAATAATAGTTGTAAAATTTTTCTAATGTGAGCGTGTGTAATGCGATGTGACACCCATAACTCGTCAGGGTCATGGGGGCACCAGTGGTTTTTCCTGGCTAAGATAGCCTGGCGAAGCTAACACTCTCCAGGCTGGTTTTGAAATCAATTTTTCCTTCCCCTAAACCAGTTGCCACCAAGGCTATAAGACCCAGTCTTTCTTACTATTTACCCAATAAGAGAAAAGATAGATTCATACCTTTCCCAAATTAAACAATGTTTATTCCTAGAGTTAGAATTTTCCCTTACAAACATTATAAAGAAATACAGTCCCTGATGACCAGAACAAGAAAATTAATTTTTAAACCACTAAACTTTACAACAACAACTTGCCTGCAAGATCCAAATAACAGAGAAAAAAAGAATTATAAAAGAATTCACATGTCCCTTAAGGAATAGGGGTCCTAATGAAAGCAAATTAATGAATGATTATATTGGACATATCACTACATGCCTATCAAGAAGACTCACATTACAGCTCTCTGGCCATAGCTTAATTAGGACTC